AGCCTTTTCATATTCCTTTACATGTCACTACGTTTAAATAGGTTGACTTGGGACTTTTTTTTCGTGGTTTTTGTATTAGACCCGTCGTCCATTTATTTGTAAGTCAAAGCACTTCAGAGAAAAAAGAAATAAAGGTCAAACTACAAAGTTTGCAAGGCGAGTGAAAACCATTATTGATATCTTTATAAAGGTTTTGGTTCATATCTATATTAGCTTCTAGAGTCTATAATGAAATTAACAAGGACAGGAGTTTAGTCATATATTTTCAAAGTTATTCCTCATTTTTTTAAATCTTGCAACCGTAAAACAACGCAGTAGTAATTTTTAGACTTACTTTCGTTTCGTTAATAATTTATTAATTGCAGTTTCCTCCAGTCATAATGTTATCGTACTTGTTAAATATTTTTTTTAAACTGTGTTCAATAATATTGTAAAGTAACTGTTAGTGAAATATAGATGTATTTTCTATTTAATTAAATAAATAATCTTTTAATACGTAAAAAATATTATTATTCATATATATCAGATAATACTACCTTGCAAAGAGCTGTAATTTTAAATACATGCCACGTTGTTAGAAAGTTCATGCAAGTGGAAGACGACGAAGTAGGATCATATTGCACACCCTCAACATAGATACACGCCATAATGCATTTACTTGATTTCGGTCCGTAAGTTTAGTTCAAACCAGCCAGCAGACTAAGAAAGAAGAAAATAATAATAATAACGAACACACTCACATCCCCGCACTAGGAAAACCCTGTATCGCGGGTGCCATGGAAGACACACAAGAAACCCAGGAAACGAACCCGGGACCTCTGCGTGGCAGTCCAGCGTGATAACCGTTCGGCTACGGAGGCAGCTGAATTTTACACCTTTTTTATGAAGTATCGATATGTACCTTGAAATCTGTTGCCACATTTATCTTTGCATGAGTACAATGACCAGCTGGAGGTACTGAATAAATAAGAACCTTATATATCTACTCTTGTGTACATTAAACGTGCCCAAAGAACCCTCTATCGCAAGCCCGAGCACGATTTCGCGGTCGATTTGAGCCGTGATAAGTGACCAGTGTCTAACATTCGGTAGGTAGGGGTCACTTCAGCCGGAATATCTTTTATTTAGTCTTGTTTTCGAGCTTTTAGTCGTTGCCGGAGGAGTGAACACACGTGTTCAATCGATGGCGTGTATACATAAAACTTAAATATACTTTTGTAGCAGTAGGGCTTCTTGTGAAAGATATTGTACAGAGAAGTACTCCCACCTTACCTATGCCTGCCTCCAAGCAGTAGTGTGAGCATTACGGGCGCAGTGGCAGTCCGATCTAAAGCTCTGATTGGTACTGCAACTGTTATGGACGGGTGTATCGCTTACCAGCATGTCCACGACACGTTCGTCTCGTCATTTGGTATTATAAAAAAAAAACTATTGACGTCATACACTTAGTCTCAAGTCGAAGAATTTCTGAGGCAAAATCTTGATATATTATAGCCCTTCGCCAATGGAAAGTACAATTAAATCCCGGACAAATAATATTAGAGATAATCTTCCAGAGATAAAACATTTCAAGTTCATAAGGCCCTAAACCTTTTATGGAAAAGCATGAGAATGACATTGAGTGACGTGGACTACTAAAGCTGGACAGTCAAGATAAACGAGGCACTCGCGTTTGGGAATTTACTCCTTACAACCAATACTTAGAAGAAGCACGTGATTGGAATGAGTGCAGTAGAAATTAAGCCACTATGGTGTAAGATACGTTGAGGTGTTTGGGCACATGGAGCGGATGAACTCTGTGTTCAAGTCTCGGACGATGATTTATATGCCGTAAAAATGCAAGTGCGCATTTGACCTCCATTTCACCTCATGGAAAGTGACGATGAGGTCGACGATGGAGCAAGCATACCTAACTAATGCCTATTCACTTGAAAAGGTCTAAGTTATAACGATAAAAACCATACTATCTATAGGCTTACTAGTATTTGATCTATGAGCTAAGTCCTTGTCGGTATGGCTGGCACGATCTATGCAATAGCTGGTTTACTATACGGAACTAAATTCATCTTCCATCTCTCAGGAATTCGATGCAACAATATTTTTTATGAGTGCAGACTTCGCGATCATTTCTACGCCAGTAACACGACGAAGGTCATCACATATCAGTCTGGATGTTGTATATAGATCGGTAACTCCGTCCGTCCAGCGGATGCCACTTTTAGCCGCATATAATAAGGTAATGTTCAGACTTCCTGTAGCCAAGTGATGCGGAGTGTGACGCGCGCCCACACATCCACGAAACGACTACAGTCAAAGCTTGCATCAAAAACATCAAAAAATGCACATAGATGACATGTGTTATTTAATATAAATCAGTTATTGTCTCCGATCATCGATGCCACTCTACACCGGCAGCGCATTTCACTTTCGAGCCTTCTATGGTTAATATGTCTATCTCTCTATGTACATTGCCTGGCCTTCAGCGATCAATAAATACATATTTTTGATACAATGACGTAACGTAAATGAGATTCGGGTCCGTGGTCAAACTGAGCAGTATATAAATTGGTTATACGACACATTTCCCTTACGCCGGATGTAATCAATTTGTACGTTGTGGCGCTCAACGCAAGCTTGTCGCCTACAGTCGTCAAAAGGCCACTGTGAAACGATCATCGTAAGAGGTTGTTTTAAAACACCACAATGGCCTAATTTCGATAGGCTCCTGTCAGATATCTAAATAATCATCGTACAAGTCGAGTGTCGTTTTAAAATTGCGAACAGTGTAAGTGGCAGTGCCAATCTCCATCGTAGCGGTGACTGTGTGTGTAACTGTTGATGCAAGTGGTATCACTGCAACGTGATACCACCTGCATATCATTCAAAACGGAAAAGAACAGGACAGACCTCAAGCGACCGAAACGCAAAAGAATATCCGACATGAGGTGAGCGGTTTTTTGGTAACAACAAATGTAATGTTTCGTATGTTGTGGCTTAAACAAGAACATGTCTAACCTCGTGCGAAAAGAGCAGAAGCTGTAGATTCTGCCGTAAATCCCATGGCGATTCCTCTGCATCTTCTTAACCAATGTCATCGATTAATGAAAACCTGCAGTTCTTTAATATTTTTGATCTTGGATCCGTGTTGCTGGTTGAAGTGAGGAAGACCTGCATAAGTCACGTGTATATAACACTAATAAAAAAGTTGTTTAATTTAAACTGGTTCAAGTGGACAGCGTCAGTATATGTATATACGTATTTCCCTCTTTTTACTACATATGTAGAATATTTTTGGTAAATAAATTATGCGTCTAATGTTTTGGAACATCCGATTATCGCATCCATCGATAAAAATAGGTTCTAAATAATGTGTCGTTATAGGTATATTGGCTATTTGCATATAATTATTGTATTAGTTGTAATTTAGTGGAACACAACATTTCGTTCTTGTTAATTTTACTATTTCAAACTTTATATGCATCCGTTTATTTATTGATTACTTTAAACAGACCAAAATATCCAAACCGGAACAGAAGCCTATAGGGAACGAATAATAAATAAAAAGGTGATATCCGCTTTTCATTGATGTGACATAATTATTTAGATTTCCATTCATAAGACAGGTAACCTTGAGACAATTGTAACAAGCCATACATTTTATTGTAAACTTTTAGTCATGTGCAAAAATCACCTCGACCCGAAGTGGGGAATTTCGGAATGCCAGAGCAACGGAATTCACTCTAGGCACCACTCATAACAAAGACCGGAACCGATCTAGAAAAATTAATTTCCCAAATATGCCAAATTCCCAAAAACGCCTACAGTGGAAACCGTTATATCACTGTGGTCATCAAAAGTATTATAACATGTTATGTAAGATGCTTAAATAAATGAATGTTAACAATCATTCGCGAGGCATCCATGACCCTAATTCACTTAATGTGTTAAATATCGATGCGATCAACAATACATTGTATCCATTTTCTTTCATACCACAATTACTATTTTCAAGTTATATCCTTATTAATGAAATCATTGCAGAAAACAAAAGTTGGTCTGTGGTATGATGTAACAAACGCATGAGAAATATTCTTGTATATTAAATAAAGACTCATAAATAAATATTACACAACAACACATACGTTGTTCTAATCCCAAAGTAAAACACTTGTGTTGTGGAAATCGGAAACAAGGACGTTATCACAAGCACCTAGACACGAGGCAATATCGAAACGTTAGTTTTTCTATATTGACCCCGACGGACTCGATATTCCGGAACCTCGGCGATGGCGACACCATGAAAACTGTTGTGCAAACCACTCGACTACGGGGAACATCAAATAGCAATGTTACCCAAATGAAGCCTTTGGCAGTCGTCATTTCCTTTTTTGAGACGTCTCCGGCTCAGCAATTTAGTAATACAAAATAATTCTTTCATAAATCTTGTGTATTTAGTCAACTTAAAATTCAGCTCAGGTGTGTCATCGATTTTTGGCGAATTGGTCAGTTATGCGCATAAATATCCACTGCAAAAATAACGTCGTCTAACTTCTTTCCTTTTCATCCTATTAAGCACAATTATTGCAACAATGATTTTAAAGATTGCAACACTCGTTTCGAGTAATGAATTAAATCATGTTGTGATTGATTTCATCAAGTAGCTAACATCATAAGTGAAAATCAGCGCTGGGAATGCATTGCATTTTCCAATACTGAGTTAATTGTTACCGCGACAGGGACCACACGAAGTATATTTTATACTTAACGTCTTTGTTTATGTTTCTATAAATAATCTGTGGTTTAATTTAGGTTTTGTTTTGTTATTTTGTGTTTTAGGTGTGTATGTATTTGAATATTTTTTGTTTGTTTCTTTTTTCTTGTGTCATTTGTGGTAGTCAAATAAATGTATTTTCTTTTTCTCATTCTTTCCGAGTACCTTCTAAGTCAGTCCTTGTATCGCACCAAAGAAGTTTGATTATAGCTAGTCTCTTTGTCAACAGGATTGACTTCCGCGGGCTCAAGTGTGTGTCGTCGCTCCGCACAGGAGCTAAAGCTGCGATGTACGAGAGCAGTTGTTCGTATGCGGGCGCACTTGAACTTAAACGCAGCGCTTTGAAAGAAGAACCCTGGCCGACGACAGAATGGCCGCCTTACCGCCTCCACCAGTCAACATTCGAGCAACTCAAGCAAAGTGTGGAGAAAGCCAAAGCGGCTTTACAAGATCGATCAGGACTACTTGGAACTGCCACTGCCTTCGGAGACTTCTATGGTGGCCAACTTGGCCAAGACGCCACCTCAACAATAGGCTTTGGAAGGACTACGCGGACAGACGACACAATGTTGGGATCTATAGATAAAAATAAAAGTCTGAGTAAGTGTTTTTCCGATTCATATAGCACATAAATCTTGTCTAATCTAATCTTGAATTGCTAATTCAATACAGCATCGTTTATTTATTCTGCGTTCACTGGAATAACTTGGTAATCCAGAAACGGGGTATTGTCGTCACTACAAAAATGTAGAAAAGATAAAAATGACACGTCATTTTTTACAGCACACATTTTGTGATGTGGTGTGATATCTCTACTTCACAGTCCATTGTAGTCGACGACACAAGATAGACACGGCATATCACGATATGTATACAGTAACAGGCAACAAAGAATAGTATCGATTGCCTCACGTGCTTTGAGACAGTGGCACGCGATACAGGTTCTTATACGAGTGTACAGACGTTCTGTTATGGCGTAGAGAGAGCGAGAAGTTGAACCCTTTCAGATTATTCCTTGATGCTGCATAGGTATAAAGAGATGGAAGGTGAGGCGGGGAGCGCGTCTTCCACGGAGATAACAATCTCTCTAAGGGAGCGAAATAGGGGCGTGCGGGATTTTACCCCAAGGTTGTCATAGCAACGCGATCCGCCCACACCCCGCCCTCGAGATCATCGCGGCCCCACGCAACCTTAATAAATACCAGTAGTGAAAATAAAATTTTATTATCTCAGCAGAGTTCATTATTTCGAAAGTTAGCCGGGGGTGAGCACAGCATCCCGGAGCTTAACGAGGGCTTGATTGTTAGGGAAATTCTTGCCTTTCAAAATATTCCGATGAAGTGTTGCATTAATTAATGGCTTGAGAAGACGGCAGCGTACAATACCGAATTAAAAAAGTATTCTCTTTAGTAGCGAAGGCTTTTGCACACTGAAAATTGAGCTATCTTTTCAGATATAAATCGCGTATTTGATTTCTAACAAACCAACGTTTTGGACCTTTACCGTTCCCATAGTTACGACTGACTGAGATAGAAAGTCGTCAAGTAACAAACATTCATCATTGGCCTTCGTAAATTTGACCGTATCTCACACTAACGTAGTCAGCTCAAGTGGCTCCCCATTCGTCTCCGTAGGAATTTGCATACTGTCTCCCGGGTATCTGAAAAGGCGTTTCAGGTTTCTGAGGTCCCAGGCTAAGCCTTGTTAACTCCCAATTACCTATTTCGTCCATTTCATTTATTCCCGTTCCAAGTCACACTCCTTCCCTGTTCATGCGGTCGAAGTTTGGAACACACTTCTTATTACTGTTCACGACTGTAAATCGTTAGCTTCTGTCAAAATAAGAGTTAAGGAACATTATTTGTCCACTATTCCATTCATTTCATATCTATTGTATAAAGAAATATATATTGATCTAAATATTTATATAGTTCATAATTAAAGCACACACGTATTTAGGTCTACAGGAAGAAGTTTCTGTACGCAATAAGCACTATCTTTTGTTTGTGTAAATACAAAAGTAACTGTTTGTTAGTTATCACGCCTAAGCCAATTTTGATGAGATTTTTGATACGTTTGATAGAGGTATTTGCGTCCTTGGAGAATGACATAGGCTACTTTTTGTCACAAAAATAAATCTTAAAGGGCGTGAAATGGGGGGCGAAAATTTGTATGGAGAATCAATAAAACTATGAAAATTAGTACGTAAAGTACAACAGTTGCATATAGCAAATAAAGCACTTATTCTACACCCATTGAACTTGTATGACTTGAAATCTAAGCTTTCAAAATGGTTACGATCATTGGATTATGAGGATACAGAACGTCTTTTAGAAGTGCTGTTGAATTTCCTCACACGTTACTAACACATTTGGTTGTTGTATATATGTTTAAGTATGTTCATTATATATATTTGTACGTTAGATTATTTAAATTCAATATTTGTAAACACATCATCTCGCACAGAAATAATCACACTTCACCCATTTACACACACACACACATACTCACTCACTACTTGCACATTTTACTCCTTGATATTAATCATCTTTTGTTAATGTTTAATTTTCATTTCTTTGTCCTTTATTAGAAATTAAGCCCTTATTATTAAAACCAATATCACACAATCATAAATTTAGATGTTATTTAGAATAAGGAAGAGCAGGAATCCCTAGCACAAGTATAATTTTATTACTTAAAAGGGATTCTCGAGGCACATAATTGTAAAGATTGTTTCTAGAAATAAAACATTTTAGATTTTTTTGATTTTGAGTTACAAGTACTTATTTAACGCAGACGAAGTAGCGGGCACCAGCTAGTTTACTTTAAAAATATTTTCATTTCTGAAGTGATATTCCATAATATATTCAAAAGCAGGTAATTCTGTACATAATTCTCCATATTCCATTTAATTTTATGCTTTTAACTACAACCATACAAACATATTTTATCCACGTTATCGTAATTTACAATTCAGCTGGGAAAAAAATTAACATTTTTTTTACGATTTAAACAAAAGAATATAAAGCAATAAAAAATATAATAAAATAACAAATTCTGGACCGTTAATGTAACTTAAGCTTTACCTGTTAGCATATCGTTATAAGTTCTATTCCGACTACGTTTTGATTTTTTTATTGAATGGGACGTGCTTTCATCTAGAGGTTAATAGCTAAACAAGGACGTATTTGAGATGTTTACTTAGTTTTTCAAAAAATAAGCTACCATATTGCAGCGGCATAAAATGCGCTATCGTTTCTAACACCGCCATGGATAATATTACAGGTGCGAATATCGTTATTGTAGTCCAAAGTAGCGAAATAAGGCATTTTTCTACGATTGTCTCGATTTTAATTAATCAGAATTCCAATCTCAATGTTTTAATTTTGTCATAGTACAATATTATCTCAATCTAGCTGAATAAAACAGTGCACTGCCCACAAAAGATTCTTTACAAAAGGGGTCTCTCGAAAAAGACAAAAGTTTTTCCACTCACAAAAACGGCCACAATTCATGAAATATTTAAATTAAGCAAAGAATCATTTTCATTGTTGTCTTGGCAGAGGTACGGCCTCGCCGGCCGGGAAGATAGAGCCTTTCCGATTTCGTGTTAAACGAAATAACACTGCAATTTTGCATTTGAATTGAACTTTGAAAAAATATTTTTTCTAGTTGCATTTACGGAGCGTGGATGACATATTTGTAACATTGATATATTTGTGTCCCTTGTTCATAAAGTTCTACCTCCGTAACTATACGAGACATTAACTTGTAGTAACATAATAATACAAGTCGAAAATAAAAAGGAATAAAACAAACAACAATGAAAGAGCTAAAGAAAATTTACATAATATTCTAATAAGTGCAAAAATCCACGCGTTCTCTGGGAGTAGGTAGCTCTGAACCATTAAGAGAAGCGTATTAAAATTTATAAGCCGAGGGCCCGACTAAAGAGTTGCTAACATGAAAATGATTGTAGAACGCCCCTTGGCGTTGGTTAGCGGTGCTTTCCACGACTATCGCACTAAATATCTACAGCAGTATACGATGCAATTGTCATCAATTATGATGCCATACTTTAGATTGTATCGTGATAAAATATATATCAATAAATCATTCCACAACTGGCCTGATACGCGTGTTATTGATTTTTTAACGTTTATTGCATAAGCAAAAGGGCTGGGGCACGGTTTGTTGTTTCACAATTTGTATTCATTAGTGTAGAGACGGCGGCGTGGGGTCGACATAACTCTGTTTTGGATTATTTCAAACTTACGATACTATCTTCCTTCCAACAAGAGTTATTATCATTTTTTATCTAGTCCAAGGCTTTGTTCGTAAATGACAAATATATGTATATCTTTCACACCTATCTCCTAATGAAGTAGTCAATGTTCATGGATCTACCCTCAGGTTAAAAGTGCCAAGAATAAACGGGCACTTTTCTTTTCTTCTGTAAAACGTTTTACTGTTTCGTTAAGGACAAACTCTGAATCCAAGAAAGTACGAACATCGCATGTACACCTAGAAATTAAATGATCCCTGTGACATTTCGGACCGTCATTTCTTAGATTCGCAACTTATGCGAATCGAGTTTGCAAACGCCCTAAGTCTGATCTACAAGAGAAGTAACTTTCTCACTACGTAATTGGTTAAATAATTTGAAATTCGAGACACGTTGCTATTCCATCTACTTTTTATTTTTTGTCATAATGTAGTAATCTCTTATTGCTAAGCTGTCGAATCAATTCATTACCTGAACTAACCCTATATAGGTATTCGAAATCTCTTTTTGGCGGTTATGTGTCGCTCAAAGTCAAAGAAATAAGAAAGTGAGTTTTTTTAACAAATCACGCGACTGGTGGTAAGCGACACGAATGTCCATAACAGTTGCAGTGCCTCTCAGAGCTGCCACTGCGCCCAACGCCCTGAGACATAAGTTGACGAGTCCCTCGTGCCTGTAATTTCACCAGCACCCTTTGAAACCTTCGGAACGCTGTAATTCTCACATTAGTCTTTGGTGGCAGAATTAGGAAAGGTGGCAGGTACTTCCCTGAACGAAGGAGTTGTTGGTGTTAGTCCGCTTACGTATTAATCAGTTATTTGAGTTTTAATTAAATTATGACATCAGACTTAGAAAAGCCTTTAGTATAATTGGAAAAATCTAATGAATTTCTTTTATTGAAACTTGTAATTATATGATATGACATTCGAAGACGCTAAAGAATAATTTCGTCATTGTTCTTTGTAAATGACTTAACTGATTCTTTTTTTTCCCAAATTAACTTATATAGCTAAGTTTGTTCTGAATTGGGAACCAAACTTTTTTAATGTATATTTTTCCGTAGCCATTTGGCAATGATTCTAAGAAATTCTTGGGGAAAGGTGCACCGCTCCCATTAAAAGCGGGCCTCGTGTAGGTGCCATGACTCATCACAGGACGCCCTGCAGTCTATACGAATCAATACTGGCAAGCATCTGTAATTAAATGTTACTCGAAAAATGTGTTATACTTGTAAGTTTTTAATAAAAAAAAAAACCAACCCCATAAGTTCGTAGAATTACATCTATTTGCCAAGTTTTAATGGAAACGGTTACCG